GCAGGACATGACATGTTGTCTCTCCTCTTCCACTTCTTGGATGAGTGGCTGTATAAATTCAGTGCTAATGAGTTCTTTATACCCAGAGTAAGTGTTCTGGTTTATTCTTTTTCCATTTGTAGATTGAGGCTATTCGCTGATAATACCAGCTCTGAATGCAACGTTACTTTAGGGAAAAAAAAGGACACAACAGATCGCTTAAGCCCAACGCGGGGAATTGAAAATACCAGGGTAGAGAGACTTGAGAAACAAATTGTTAAGCTTTGTTAGCACAAACACCAATCATTAGATACCATTAATAGGGTTGGGGCAGCTCTGCTGCCGTTGTGTTCGCGCGTTCCAAGTAGCAATTTATCTCTTTGAGGCTGCTCAGATTTTAGATTCCATTTAAAAGGTGGGATATAACCCTTGTAAATGGGATTTACTGAGATTTTCTGCCTGAAGATAGAAGATAATACTGACTTATTTCTCCTCTCGCTTTCTCTGCAGGAGGTGAAAGTGCTTTACATTGACCGAATGCAATTCAAAATAAGATCAATTGGGTGAGCTTAAATGATCAGTTGAGTAATTAATATCTTCACTGAAAATGCACCTACTGCCTTCAGAGTCACCACTCTGAAATACTGTGATGTGCTGGAGTTCACCGATGCTTTCTAAAAAGTGGATTGTGGACTTCTGGTTTTTTCTTCCTTTGAGGCTTTAAATGAAAGTCTCGCTGTCCTATGCTCATCAGTGAAGCTAATCATGACATTTGATAAATATTACCAAAATTCCAACCACCTCTCTTCTTTTTGCCTTTAAAGGTGGGGAGAAGAGTTCTCCTTACCCAAACACCCTCAGGTATGCAGTGGTTCATCTCTACATCTTTTACGTTTTAGGGGTAGGGCGGGGAAGGGTGGTGTCTTTTAAATCACACCTCTTCAGTTCTCAAGAGATCCAAGTATAAACACGTCTGAATGGCATCACAGACACTAAACTTAAGATCTCACTTTCTGCTTGGTTTTTGTGAATGCGTTCCTGAAACCGTTGACCTGAGCACCTGATGCTTCCTCAGCACTAGCAGAACTCAACAGTTGGTCTCCTTTTTGTGATGCTGATAACACAGTAAACCAATCTATATTCAGAACGTGCACGTGGCTTTGGTTTTCACACTATTATCAGAGCTTTTTGCTTAGGTTTTGCTGCTTTCTTTTTTTCTCTTGAAGAATTGCTAGCAGCAAACCCTTAATCTTCCCCCAGCTTTTTAAAAGCTGCATCAGCATTAGCATAGGAAATGTTGATGTTCTGTCAGAGGTAAGAGGAGGAATTTGTAGTATTCAAGAGGCAGTAAAATAAGGGCAAGAGTTACTTATTCACTATTTGGCCTGGCCAGGTCCTTGCCATTAGTGTGCCAACTTTCTTATTCCTCAGAACAAATACAATGACAGCTTTTGGGGGAGAAAAACTATTAAACAGGATAGCATTTGTAGAAGGTGATAAGTACTGTGCATTATCATGAACTGCTACAAGGGATGTCATTTAGAAAATCCATGCTTTTGTGTCTTTTCTCTCTAGGGCACAGAGGTCAAAGCCATAACTTACTCAGCAATGCAGATCTGCGAAGAGGAAAAGCCAGAAGTCTTTGTCATCATTGATATTTAGAGCAAGAAAAGTGTGACGGAGTGGATACTTGTCATTGCCTGGCAAAAGTCCCTTGAAAACTAATCCCTGTGGAAGTAACTAAGGAATTGGCCAACTCGAGTCATAAGTTGAAGGGAGTAATTGGCGGGGAATGTCAGCCTCTGTTCTGACCTGAGGATGGTGAGACAGAAACACCTGCCTGCCAGGAAAAAAAGAACTAGTTGGGGTTTGGAGGGTGTTAAGGAGAAAGAGAGTTGTAGGAGTTGAAAGTCTCTCAGGAGTGCTGTCTTTTAAGGCTGATACCTGTGTTAGGTGCTGTATGAACTAAATGGATAAATTAGTGGAGCTGCTAGCTAAACTACTTTTCAGTCGTTTTGTAGGGTAGCAGGAGATAATGTTCATCTACCTGATTTCTTTTGCAGATTTAAATACTCTATTTCTGAGGTGACATCCCTTCTCCATATTATCTAAAGGGTCCAAAATAACTGCAGTGGGTCAGACTGTAGAAAAATTTCTGACTTGTTTGAAGGACACCTAAGAAAGTATACCAATTAAACAAACCACCATACCTTCCAGACTACTTAAAAAAGAAAAAAAAAAGTCATACCAGCAGGTGGTGCTGAATTGCTGTAAATAAACTTCTGCAGGAAATCATGAAGCGTGTGACCATGTACATGGAATCCTAATAGCACCTATTATCACTCCGAAAAGTGGGCAGCTTTGCTGCTGCTGTAGAAGGGAAGGCACCAGATTCTCTGTGGATTCACTCCCAAATATGTCTTGCGAAAGCTGATTCTCTTAGAAAAAGCGGACTGTTCAGCTCAGCTGCCATTTCTTCCTTTGGAAAGGGCAATACAGACGATCCTTTAATGTCAAAGGATTATGAGCTTCATTGAATCAAAATTAATCAAAAAAATAATAAAAAACGTGTGTTGTTTTAAATCACAGGACAGCAAATGTGCGTTACCTGCCATTGCTATTTAAGTGTGAGAGGGGCGCAGTAAGGGACGGTCGGTGCTTTTTTTTTTATTGTAAATGCTGCAGGTGCCTCACCTCTGGAGGTGTAGTGTCTCATCTTTTATTTTGTTGTAAAATAATCTTCAGAAACTGATCTGGTTTTATTTCCACCTTGTGAAGATTGAGGGATAAAACCCTGTTTATTTTTTTGAGAAAGCTTCAATGCTGAAATAAAACTTGGACTGAAAGAATTAATGGATTTGTGTGTCAATTCATTTTGGCCAGTGGATTTTTAACACCAATGAATTACCTTTGTGCTTCGTCCTCTGCTAAGGTGGGAGGACTTTTTGTAAATAAGAATGACGATATGCTTATTTGATGGTACAAAAACCAGTATGATTTTTCACACACTGGATTTTCTTCCCTCCTCAGGAGCAGCCACAGGACTCCAGCACATGCCTGCTACGGCGACAGGCCGCATACTGCGGCGCTGTGGAGGAAAAGCGAGGCCTGGGCTTGCGCTGCCCGAAATGAACGGCTCCGGGCCTTCCTTCAGCACTG